CTCTTCCATAAGCATGGATGTTTGACTTTAAAATTCCTGAATGTCAATGAAGTTAGCTGGAGGAGATTTTTTTTGTCGTGTCAGGAGCAAGTCGCTTCTGGTGTGAGAGAATTGGCTGTCTGCAAGGATGTTGCCCAGGGGATGCCTGGATGATTTGATGTTTTTATCACCCTTCTGGGAGGCTTCTCTCATGTCCCCACATGAAGAGCTGGAGCTGATAGAGGGAGCTCATCCGCCTCTCCCTGGATTCGAACCTACGACCTGTCGGTCTTCAGTCCTGCCAGCACAGGGGTTTAACCCACTGTGGTACCGGGGCTCCAGAGGAGATAACTTGCCTTATTGTCCATCATTCTGACCTTTGATAGATTTTCCAGATAACCGTTATCTAATCTATTCCAGCACGGCTTCTAGTCCTCAAACAACTCCATCTTCTGGGTTGCTGTAAGTTTTTCGGGCTGTATGGCCATGTTCCAGAAGAATTCTCTCCTGACGTTTCGCCGGCATCTCTGGCAGGCATCCTCAGAGGTTGTGAGATCTGTTGGAAACTAGGAAAATTGGTTTATATATCTGTGGAATGTCCCACCCTGGACGTTCCACAGTTCTTTCTCCCACCCTGGACTTTCCACAGATACATAAACCCAATTTTCCTAGTTTCCAACAGACCTCACAACCTCTGAGGATGGCTGCCATAGATGCAGGTGAAACGTCAGGAGAGAATGCTTCTGGAACATGGCCATACAGCCCGAAAAACTTACAGCAACCCAGTGATTCCAGCCATGAAAGCCTTCGACAACACAACTCCATCTTTCCTTCTCTCCCACCTTCTGCTGCTTTCTTTTAGGATGGAGATTAATACTTAATAATTTCAATACATTAATGGCTCTGATGTCAAGGGATCATTGAGTAAGATCAAAATGAGACCATTTGGTAGCACATTCTAATCAAAAAGGGCTTAAAATTTCAATTTGTATGACAAAGAATGAAAAGGTGCCACCTCCTCTTCCTGCCCATGGAGTAGCACACTGCTTTCTAGTCCCCCAATTTCCCCTTATCTGATTTTGGATATTCACAGTAAACTTTGTGAATTGGAAGAATTGAGCTCTCTGGGAATGGGAAGATGTGAGAAAGTCACAAGAAGTCCCCTTTGCTCTAAAGACTGGCCTTTCTATGTTTGTTTCAGATTTGAGCTTAATTCAGTTTAAGCAAATGTCTCACAATTTTCCCATTCCGTGCTAAAATCAGATGATGAGCTGCACAGTGAGCAAGCGGTTTCCTTTTTCTTCAGGTGTTGACTGACTCGAACATCCAACCATCCTAACCCGGTTAGCCATTTTGTCCATTCCTGAATTGGAGGTTGCTTTCCCATTCTCTTTCAGGCATATCAATAGGGTGGCATCCTTTATATTGAAGAATGATGGTAAAAGTGTGTGTATGTGTGGGGGTGCTCTTGGAACATGGCACTCAGGGACCTTAAAAACGTTAAAATTTTAGCATGTGGACATAAAACACACCCCACGGCACTTGCCATTCAAAGTACATGTCTGAATTACGTGCAATACACTCATTCAACACATGGTTGAAGATCGTTTTATGAAATGCTATCAAAAAACCAATATTCCAGAGGCTAAATGTCAATTAAGTGACATTTTGATTTTTTAAAGTGCTAATTTGATAATATTTATCAGTTTTAATTGCACATTTAATTCCCAACAAGTTAATAATGAATCAAAACTCAGTTTAAAACCATGATGTATAGAGTGTCGGCCCTCTAGATCCACAAATTCTGCATCCATAGATTCCCCCATCTGTGGTTTGAAAATGTATTTTATAAAAAAACAAAAAACAAAACAAAACTCTGATTTTGCCATTTTGTATAAGGGATACAATTTTACAACACTGTTGTATATAATAATTGAGCACCCTTGTATTTTGGTATCCGTGGGATGGGGGGCAGGGGAACCAAACCCCAGAGGATACCAAAGGCCCAATACAATGTGTATTACATCTGTCAAAAAAGGTCAGGCAAAGTTGAAGGTACTGACATTTAAAAATAAATACACTTTTGTTTCTTTGAATGACATTTAGTGTGAAGCCGAGATAACTGACAGAATTCCTTCCTGTGAGTCCCATTCTATGACTGTTAAGATTAATTTTTGATTGTTCAATTGCTTCCTGTTGTCATTACATTTAGTTATTAATAGGATTTATATACCCCAACATTAGGTTATCTTATCATTTTGAGCTGCCTTAAGTCATCTGAGTAACCGGGTTTGAATGTATAGTACAGTGTTCCTCCGCTACTTCGCAGTTTGCTTATTGCGGACTCAGTTTCACGTTTTAAAAAAAGTAATAAAGTAATAAAACTGGGTGGGAGGGGGACACAAATACCACTTGGTGGTGGTCTCCTTCTCCTCGCCGCCTCTGCTGCTCCTTACTCCTTCCTTGGAGAGTCAGGCTCCCCCTCCTTCTCATCCTCTTCCTCCTCCACTTCCTTGGAGGACCCTTGGGTGCTGTTGACATCACTGCCAGACCTCAGCTCAGCCTGACAGTAGCATCAACAGTGCCCAAGGGGCCTCCAAGGAAGAGGAGGAGGAAGAGGATGATGAGGAGGGGGAGCCTTGGTGCGGCCCTCTCCGAGGAATGAGAAGTGGAGGCAGCGAGGAGGAGGAGGCCACCGCCAAAGAGGGCCGTGCCAAGGTCCAGCCGGGAGACAAGCCCCAGGGTAAGGCTCAGCACCCAGCTCCCCTTCCCCTCCTCCTCCTCTTCTTCATCCCTACTTCATGGAATTTCACTTATCGCAGGTGGTCCTGAAATGTAACACCCATGATAAGTGAGCAAACATTGTTATGTTGTCTGCTGCTTACAGGACACTATTGGTATGAAATGTATTAAATGGTAGGAGCTGCGATCTATGTGTGCAAAAGTTTTGCACTATATCACTAAGTGAAAGATAGTAAATATAATATACTGTAAAAGTGTTATGAAGCATTTTCATACTTACCAATGTTTTTCAGTCAGTGTACTCAACTGCCCAATCCCATCTTCCTTCTGCTTTTCATTTTTCTATAGATATATCTCTGATACAATGCTTCCTTTGAAATGTGCATAGCCAGTTGATATTCTGTGCAAGTTCAGTGGAAAATAACGCACGTGGGATAGGGTACTGATTAAAAATTAAAATATTGATCTGGCCTCTTTATGAAATGCTGTATCTTGTTGTCCCTTAAGATCCTACAAGATGTTTGAGGTGGGAGTATGCTATGATTTCCCTTGGGAGAAGACATGAGCTCGGGATCTTGGCTACTAGACAGCTCAAAAATGTCCATTGAAGGTTATAGATCCGTGTATTAAACTTCTTTTCTTTCACTGAGAAACAGTGAATGAAATCTTCAAAGGGAATGCCATTCAAGGGGAAGAAACGATTCTGGATTGGATAATGAATCGCTCTCTGTAAGGAGAGGAGAATGGATAGTGGCATTTGTCTTGTAGAGAAAAAAACTGAACAAATATATAAAATCTGAACAAAGGTAACAATTTGCCAGCTTATCAGTTGGGAATTATCAGCTTACATCCTTTTCCTGCAGCAGTAACAGAATCTTATCTAGAACACAGTTGGAACTCTACCTTCAATGTATCACCCCAGAGAACACTGATCTTAAGGAAACCTGTTGCCTTTTCCAGAAAAGGTAATGTAAAGAAAGGACAGTTGCTCCCAACTTTCCTCAACCTTTCTTGCAGGATCACAGTCTTTTCCACTTCACTACAGGGCAGCATTACAGGAAAAGACCACACAATTTGTATAAATACTGTATATAGTGTTCTCTCACTACTTTGTGGTTCACTTTTAGCGAACTTGCTGTTTTGCGGGTTTTTGAGAATATTAATAAAAAATATAAAATATTTATGTCCAGTGGAGGCCAGGGACCTCAGAAGTGCAACAGAAGTGCGGGGAAGGCCTGCCTGCCTGGCCTGCTGCTGCCTGCATGGCTCCAAAGGCTCTGTCGGGGTCTGAGAAGGTCAGGGAGGCAGGTAGGCGCCCTTGGGTTGGTCCGGGAGACAGGGAAGGAAGCGTGGGTAAATATATATATATATATAGTGTCACGAACGACTTGAGAAACTGCAGGTTGCTTCTGGTGCGGGAGAATTGGCCGTCTGCAAAGACGTTGCCCAGGGGACGCCCAGATGTTTTGATGTTTTGCCATCCTTGTGGGAGGCTTTTCTCATGTCCCCGCATGGAGAGCTGGAGCTGATAGAGGGTGCTTATCCGCCTCTCCCCGGATTCGAACCTGCGACCTGTCGGTCTTCAGTCCTGCTGGCACAGGGGTTTAACCCACTGCGCCACTGGGGGCTCCGAAATAATATATAATATAATATTATATATATATATATATAATAATGTATAAATATCAAAATTAATATGGCGTTCCTACTTTGTGGATTTTCACTTATTGTGGGTGGTCCTGGAATGGAACCCCCGCAATAAGTGAGGGAACGCTGTACTGAGAAAGAGGAAGCCTTTTTCCATGCTACAAGCTGACATTGTCACGGATGTCATTGCTGGAATGCGAGCATACACTGATTTCTATTTGCATTTGTTGAGAAATGAACAGCACAACAGAGAAAAATATCATATTGTCTCCAGACACCCAACGTACTCTTCCTTGCACAGTTTTGTTTCGGTTGTGAGGAAGTGCCATGTGCTGTCCTTCCTTCAAACTTAGCTGTTATTGCTGCACTAAGCAAACCTGCCTGACTACTTCATACAAGACTGGAAAAAGGTTTCATGCCTTATGTCGAGGCGCCCAGATTCTCATTCACAGATGAGAATCCTCTCATGTCTGGCAACACTGAGATGGAACATTGCTTATGTTGCACAAACATACACACCAGAGAGTATGCCTACATGGTGACATATACATACACACACACACACGCACACAAGCAAGAATGTGTATTTGGATGGCGGATTCTTGGAAATAGACATTCTTAGCAAATATGGATGACAGATCAATTGTAATTTATTTTCTTTTAACACTGTATCATCATAAAGAAAACTGGTATAAATGAAAAAATCTATTTCAAATATCTACATCTAAAATTTTAGGCAGTGAAAAAGCACTTTGTTGACAAGGAGTGTGGAATGATGAATGTTAATTGTCAGAAACTGCTGAATGCCTTTTTTTTAGTTGCCACAAACAAATTCACATATCAGAACGAACAATACTGCTAAATATTCCATTTTTTTGTTTTCTTTTGTTAAAACGCACTGGGGAAAATAACAGAAAAGTAAAAGAAAAAGAGAAACAACCCCTCCCCTGCCCCTGGAAATTCATACATACTTCAAAGTTTTGAAATTGAAGCAATATTTAGAACCATAGATGAAGAAACACTGTGGCATTGGTGTAATATACACAATGCACTTCTTTCTCTCTCTCTCTCTTTTAAATCTGTAATGTACATCAAATACTTTACAACAATGCATTAACAAAAGGCAAGAAACATCTTGCTGTACAGAGGAAACCCCAAATGCAACTTGAAGCCTAGATTCACAATGGATGAGGAGAGGAAACAAAGTGTGAGAAGCTGTCCCCCCTAAGGTTTGTAAACTGTTCATTTTCTTGTGCTTAACTCTGGACCCTTGTCAGCTGTCATACCTTCCCCGATTCCCTTCCGTCACATTCAATGTACAGCACTATTTGTTTTAAACTCTACATACAAGGTCAACTGCAAAGTTGCCTCCCTACACAATATATTTCTATATCTATATATAGAGAGACAGGATTATATAGATACAGAAATAGATATACATTTCCCCCTTTCTAATGACACTCCCGTGCTTAACTTCCAACTCTTTTCGCCATCTAAAAGGTATCTTAATTTTTTTTCCACACTGATTATCAGGGCCTTCCTATGGAACAGGCTTTAACAAACTAAATTTGCAGGAAAAGAATGTCTTGTGGTATGCATGCACATGCACAGTTCCTGGAGCTTTCCCCCCCTTTGCCGAAATCTCAAACCCAGGAATCTGGAGACGCTGGATAGTGGCTTGTTTCATAATTGAGTTCACTGTAGGGCCGGGCAGCAGAGTAGAAGTCGACGTAGTTGCCAGTGGACTTGAGTCCCAGATGCATATTATACTCGCTTGCAGGTGGGCGGTGATGCACTTGGTCCTCAAAGAAGGACTCGTCATAGTTTCTCGTTGAATTCTGAAATGGCTGATATGGTTCATAATCCTTCCTAGTGGGCTCCTGTGGAACTGGCTGTGTTGAAACCTATCAACAGAACAATAAGCCTCAGATTCTTAGGTTAGATTATAATGACAGGAAACAAACTGCCAGTTAAGGCACAGTTGACTGGTTAAGCATCCCTTATCTGGAATTCCAAAATGCGAAATACTCCAAAGTTGTCCACATGGGTGGCTGAGATAGTGACACTTTTGCTTTCTTACAGTTCAATGCACACAAAATTTGCTTCTGGGTTGTTGTAGGTTATTTCAGGTTATATGGCCATGTTCTAAATGCCTCTAGAACAGTGATTAGCAACTTTTTGAGCTGAGTGTGTCAAAATTCGCCAAAAAATCGAACATAACTTGAGTGGGGTGTTACTTTGAGGGGGAAAAACTTAATTTTGTGATATTTATAGTTTAAATAACAAAAGTATAATTTTTCAACGGAGAAAAAGTTTCGGGCCTGAAAATAGTTGTTCTTTTATGATTTTGGGGTGCTGAAAACGAAAATGACATTTAAAAATGTATATTGGCTCTAGTTTTTATGATATAAGCAATCACGTGATCACGTATGGTTGAAAAAATGCATGTTGCGACTTACACTATGGAAGATTCTAGAATACTCTAGAAAGTTTGATGACGCAGTATTAGTGCCGTGTGCAAAAGCTAGAAAGCCCTATATAAGGCCAGACTTTTGAACAGTGAGGGTCAGTCAGTTGAAGAATGAGACAGTTTTGTTAAACATCGTTTTACATTGTTCTTTTTACTGTAGTTATGCCTCGCACGTGTGTAAATAAAGCACTATGGAAAAAAGATATCAAGGTAAATGGACTCCGTCAATGCTGTCAGACTACTGCTGGAGCATTGTAAGAGACAATTCTTTCCTTGAATACAAAAGAAAAGTCAAGAGAAGCAAACAGGATAAAAACTAAAATCACGATTAAAGCGACATTTAAACTTTCAGACTTTTCAACTGCATTGGGCCTACTAATATAGTTTCTTGCTGCACAAACATAAACAATAGACTAATTAAATAAATATTTTCTATTGGCAATATAATTTGACTAAAATTTAGTAAATATTCACGGTTTATATACATGCAGTAAGGTTAGGCGCATTATCATAATATTAACTAATTACCTATTGTGGAGAAAATTGAAATAGCTGTTGCATAAAAACCACAGCCAATTAACACATTTAATTATTATATTTGAATTCAGCATGTGAAATTTATTAAGAAACGGCACATTTCGTTTCCGTAACTGAGAAAAAGTGAAAATTTGTAGAACAGTGTTATAATATACAAATTTTTAATAAACCAAAAACTAATTATTTAACTTACCTGCTTAATGTAAATTAAGATGGCTGCCGCTGTTTCTAATGGTGGGAAATGGCACCCATAGCACAGACCCTTAACTCTCCCAGCCTCCCCCTCACTTATTTCAGTAATGATGGTAAATTAGATATCCACGACACCCCAGAACAGTAGATTGGATGATGGTTGCTGTGGTTATGTGGTTGCTAGTAATAGCGATCATAGGGCCCCCAAAGATGCATCCCCCGCAACATTTTGCTCCGCCGGCTGGAAGTGAGGTCAAATATCCCCGAACGGCCTAACCAGAAGTCCCAGAACTAGATGCTTTGTGCCAATGTTCTGTTATTTTGGCCTACAGACCTCCGGCACAGCGTGTCTACACTACAGCAAATGTTTCATCCTCGGCTACTGCACTTGGCCGTGCAGGAGCCAAGGATGAAATATCCTTGGCATGCAACCCCATGCTTCTCTATATGCGGCTGCGTGTCATCAAAAATGGCTACACGTGTCAGTACTGACACGCATGTCATAGGTTCGCCATCACGGCTCTAGAACATGGCCATATAGCCCGAAAAAACCTACAACAACCCAGTGATTCCAGCCATGAAAGCCTTCGACAATACAAACTTTGCTTCATTTTATATCATTAAAATAGGATATAAAATTACCTTCCGATTTTAGAAAGTATATACAAAATGTACGTAAAAATTGTTTTTCTACACTGGTCCCATCTCCCAAGATACCTCATTATGCACATATATGCAAATATAGGTATCTGAAACTCACAATGTCCCAAGCATTTAATTAAGGGATATTCAACATGTATAACCATTCTGCTTCCAAGCACCATTGATGAGGACTGGTTCACAGCATTTTGGCAGTTACGTCAAACAGCTCTGAATTAATTCCGTGGTTTTGCTTGAACTTTATGAAATGATTGCTTTAACATTTATATTCATGACTTCTCCTAACAGACACTTTGCTTAAAGGCGTAGGTAAAGAGCACAGGTTATGATGACCTATGGTTAAACTTTTTGAATAATTGGTAGATTTTACCCAGATTCCCAGGTCCCAACCTTTGAAGTAAAAGGTTGTGGAAATGCTCCAAATGACAGATGAAGAATCTCTAAAAACACATCTTACCTTCATAGTCAAAACCATGGCTAGATGCAGACATTTAACAATGTCTGGCCATTTGATAGAAGGTTAAGTTGAAGAGGCTCTACAGCATTACCACAATATGAGTATTATTTTAAGCATTCTAAAAAATTGAGAGGGTTTTTTTTATTTAGAGGGACCTCATAGTCAGATGTAGTTTACTTAGTTCGTGCCAAAAATATTACAAAATTCTGTTTTAATATGTTGTAAACCACCCTGAGTTCCATTATAGGGGAAAAGATGGACTTAAAATAATCATTATCATGAAGTAGGTGTCCTAGTCCATGCTAAGCCCAGAGGGTGGATCACTGATGGTTTCAACCCGTATGCGGATATCCACAATGTAGGCACTGGGTCTGAAGTTCATTCTGCTCAGAACAAAAAATTCTCCAGGCTTGTAGAATTTCCCAGGTAACTCTATGCTGTATGATTAATCTCAAGCATGTGATGAAAACTACCAGTAGACTTTTTCAATTTATTGGACCAGAATAATACTAAAACATAATGCCATTTAGTTAGACAACAAATAAGGTCAAAAGTGGCATTCTTATATAACAATGCTGGAAACTCCCATGTAGACAGCAACCTAAGGGTAGCTAATGGATTTGAAGTCCTTCAATTGTCATCATCCCATCCTTTGGCAATTCTGGGCTTTGCAGTTTAGACAAAAATATTTAGAGTGCTCAGCCAGAGAACTTCTTGTTGAACTGCAAAGCCCCAAGACTCCAGAAGATATAGGATATTAACACAGCAAGTAGGAGCTTAGTGTTATGAGTACAGGTCCATCTACTTGGGCATTATAACCTGAACTCATCCTGAGCTAATTTTTAGCCGTCCCCATGATGTTCTTGCACTTGTGGTAACTACAATGGAATAACAGTTGTATAAAAGCAACAGAGACAGTGAGTTATCACACTTTTCACCTACTATGCAGAAGTTAATGTCAAATACAGTTCAACCTATCTGGAGGATGCTAGTTTTAGGATGACTGGAAGAGTAAAAGGAAGAAGAAAAATGAAAAAATAGTCTTGAGATATCTATACAATTGACAGAAGAAGTGGAAGAAAACTCCTCTAGATGGCACTTTTTACAGAAACTCCTATGGCCTTTTCTTCCATTCCTCCACATGAGAGGTTGAAGGGTAGATATCATTCTAAGGATGGTTGTTGAGTACAGGCAGTCCCTGAGTTATGAACATCTGACTTGCAAATGACTCATCATTAAAAATGGGGGTGAGACAACAGGAAGTGACAGCAATCTACCCCTCAGGAAATTCATCCTGGAATAGTTATTGTGAGGAAAAGATGTCTCCACTGAAGTTTTATCATTGATCCTTGTTTCCATAACAAGTCAAAATTTTCAAAATCCAATTATCACAGGGACAGAAAAGGAGGTAAACTTTTCTGAACAGTGGCACAGACCACAGGAGTATTAATAATTCCCTATGATATTCAAAACTTATATATATATATATATATATATATATATATATATATATATATATGGCTTGTTTGATAAAAAATGGTTCAAAACTTGTTTTGGATTTAGCGGGCGCTGGTGGTTCGGATCTAAAGTCAATTCCAATTTTCACAGAAAAAAGTTCAAAACTTTGCAAAACTTCTAAGACTTCTGAATCCTTGGTTAATGGTTTCAAAGTGTTATTTCCTGTTTCATTGGGTGGTCTTTACTTTGAAAGTAATTGTTTTATTATTCCAGAAGTGGGGGGGGGGGAGCAAAGGGAAGAAATCAATCCACTCTGGTTAAAACCGCTTCTCTCACTTAAGACTGAAGCGGGAGGAAAAGGAAAGGAAGGGAATCCATCCACACTAGTTTAAACTGAAGCGAGTGGGAAAGGAAAGGAAGGGAATCCATCCACACTGGTTAAAATCACTTCTCTCTCTCTCTCTCTCTCTCTCTCTCTTTTAATAATCTTTATTGAAGTTTTCAATATACAATTAAAAACCTCCCAAAAAGGAAAGGAAAGAATAAAAAAAGAAAAAAAGAAAGAAAACCCACTTCTCTCGTGGGAGGGAAAGGAAAGGAAGGGAATGCATCCACACTGGTTTAGAACGCTTCTCTTGCTTGAACCCAGGCCAGGGAACAGAAGCAGGAGAAAAGCTGAATCATTTCTGACTCACTTACTGATTTGTAAGAGAAATGGAGGAAAAAGCTTCAAAAGGGCAAAGGGACTTCCGGTTTTCTTAAAAACTTTGAAATTGCTTCAAAAAGGAAATCTTTCCTAATTTATTCCGACTGAATTTAACCATGCCTGGCTGGAGTTACACTTTAAAAAGCATATCTGTTCCAACTTACATACTTATTCTACTTGAGAACAAACCTACGGAACCTATCTTGTTTGTAGCTTGGGGACTGCCTATGTATCACATTTTAAGGATGGTTGTAAGGTATATCATATTATTTCAAGGAGGAAGTTAACTGTGTGGGAGTGGCGAACCCACCATGTCTTTTCAAAAGTCACAACAAAAAACAATAACCTTTTACCAGTAAGGAAACAAAGTTAGGGAAAACCCTATTGAGATTTGATAGGCTGAAATCTTCTCAAATGAGGAGTATAGCCCACTTGTATTTGAAAAGGCACACCCAATTCTATACTGACTAGAGGGTCACATTAAATATTGTTCTCATGAACATAAATATCCCCTTTCTTTCACCTCTTTGTTATATAGTCCCTCCTTCCACTAAGACTCAATGAAACAGAGCAAAAATCTCAAACCCTTACAAGTATCTTCTCTTCACACATATTTATGTATAGACAATTTCAGCAAAACCTTGCCATTTTGGCAATACCTAGTAACTGCCAAATGATTATGAAATCTTCTATCTCAACACTAAATGTTTTCATCAAACAACCAACTTTCATATTTTGCCATCTATTGATCACTTACCATGGCAAGCTTGTAAATATTCAAAACAAACATGGCATCAGAAATATCTAAGTAATATCTGGACCCGGCCCCCATTTCCACAAGTATCTAGTAAAGGTTGGAATCTTTCAGTGCTGTCTGGGAAAATTTAGACTTCTTAGGTAAACTTTGCTTTTCAGATATTACAGTGCTCCCCCCAGAGATTGATGGCAAGTGTACTGATTTAATTACACAGGAAAGTGACCCAAAAACATAACTGGTATCAAATATTATCTCCTATAATGCTCTTATATCAATGACCATTATAGGAGAAAAGCAAAGTCTGTAGTCTTGTTGTTGTTGTTGTTGAAAAAAAACAACATTTTCACATTTTTAGGATTTTTTTTGAAATGGAAAAAACAGTCTGGGACTCTTATCAGCAGTGGCTATGGAAAAAGTAATTTATAAAAACAAAACGAAAAGAAAAGAAAAGAAAAAGGAAGTCTTATGCACTTAAGAGATTAAGTGGCAAGTGCTTTTCCCCTTTTCCCAATACTGTAGACACAAATCATATTCATTTTCAAAAACAACGGATTGCTTTAGCCACATACCTGGTTGTGTTTAATATCTTCAGCAGGTGCACCATAAGAATTTCTGTACAAAGTAGAGATTCCAGTGTTCTGAGCTAAAGGCGGGAGAAAAAAGAACCGCATTACCATTTATAAGCCAGGGGCATGAAAATTCAATGTTAAACCAACAACAGTGCTGAAATGTTCTCCTTTGAACAAAGAGTGAATATTAGAGTTTAGCTGCCGGGTAAAAATGGGGATGTTACACCCAATAATCTCCTCTCTTCTTTTCCAATATTAGAACACGAAAATAATCCAGTGAATCTGACTGGCAAAAAAGATACATGATATTATTCATGCAACACTTAATTAGCATGGAATTAATTATTTTCTTAGCACAGAATGGTACATAAAGAAGATGTGTGAGATTTGGGAATATTAATATTCAAAATTACTGCAAAAATCCACAATTTCTACATTAAAAAAACCCTACATTTGTAGCCACAATGGTTTTGGATTTTGATTTTTAAAAGGCAGGGTTATGGTTCTTCTTCTGATTGTTAAATCTGTTCTGTGTCAGTTGGTTGCAGGCATTCAAGACCACCAAGTAGATAGAAGCGTGTAAATGAGGAGAGCACAGATTACTCATTATGCGCCAGGATTGCATTCACACTGTGGAACCTAAATATATTAGTGTTTATATACAGAAATCAAGGGTAACCTCACATTCCTTCTTATTGCACCACAGTGTTTACACCACTCTGTACAAATCATTTCCATAAACCTCATAAGACATTTGATATAAGAACTTTCCAAGAAACGCTTATATAATTGTTTGGAGCGTGTTCATCTACTTCACAAACTTTGCATATAATTTCTGGTGAAAAACTGTACAGAATTAGAGTACCAAATGTATGTTGAACAAATGAGGCCAACCTATAAGTAGTTACTGTGATTAACACATATGAGGTATCAGGTGCTTTACAGCCTTACTGGATTTTTTTTTCATATCAGGAGTAACTTGAGAAACTGCAAGTCACTTCTAGTGTGGGAGAATTGGCCATATGCAAGGATGACTTTACTGGATGAATATGGGTTTTCTTCCATACAAAAAAATCATGCAGCTTTAAGGCTATTTAGTTCCACGCTGTTCCTTTTTCGAGCTAGTATTTCTCTTGTGGCCAAATCGATTTCTCTAGTGGGTACACTACATCTGTTAGAGCGAAAAATGAATGGTTCTCCTTGTTGAAAGTTGCTGAGTATTACATCTCATGACAATTACTGCGATGTAACTGGTGACAAATGAAAACTCTTTCCCCAGGGCATTTTTAGAATGCAACTCAAATGTTATTTTACTGGTTTTTAGGAAATAATGTTTAGACATTGAGTACTCTACCACTGTAACCATAAAACATGGATGTATTAATATAGCACATCAGTAATCATTTTTAAACCATCTGTCACTGAAAGCCTGGCTCCATCCACATACTTTGTCTTTTTGTGGTTGTTTCCATTAGGTGTTAGATTTCAAAATGTCAGAGTTCTCTATTTTGCTAGAAAAATAAGTAAGCTCAAGACAGTTTACCTAGGTTTTGATGCCAACATAGACTCACACTTTATTTTATATTCTGCTTTATCTCCCCGGAGGGACTCAGAGCAGATTAGAATACACATATAAAGTAAACATTTATTGTACACATATAGTGAACAATGACATACAACACAGACAAAGGTAAAGGCCTTCCCCTTTTTCCATCTCTGCCGTCTGGAGGCAATGCTCAATTCTGGCCATGGGGAGGTGCTTTTGTTGCATTTTCCATGCCGAGGAGCCTGTTGTCCATTGACATCTCCAGTTGTGTTGCCAACATGTCTGCATATCTGCATGGGGTACCCTTTTACCTTCCTGCCAAGGCAGTAACTATTGATCTACTCATACTACATGCTTTCAAACTGCTAGGTTGGCAGGAGATAGGTCTGACAGTTGGGAGCTCACCCCGACTTGCAACTTCAAACTGCAAACTTTCTGGTCAGCAGCTTTCCTGCGGTTTAACCTGCAGTGCTACCACGGCTTATTCCATTTTGTTAAGATAAAATCTGTCTCTTCTGGAATCGTAGAAGGCCTTTTATATCTATCTCAGGATGAGAAGAAATGTGAAATGTCCTTGATGATTTTCATTTATTTTGAAATGGTGTCATATTATAAGTGAAAAATTACCTGAGATAATGGAAGCCAAATATATTGGATTCTCACCTGGAAAAGAATTCTTGTCATATTTTGATCTATTTTATTACTTTGCTAATATCATTGAAGTGACAACATTGTTTTTAAATGCAGTCTTTTGAAAAATCAGAAAGTACACTTTCTTTGACTTTAGTCTTTTAAAGACTATGGAACTGTTGCCCCCATATAGTTGTAGGATGTGTGTGTCCATGTGTACATCCTGTTTCCCTGCTGCCTTTTTACTCCTTCAGTTTGAGACTCCTTAATACTTGCAAGAATCAAGAGTTGACCTATGTATAGTTGGGTTGATGCTCGGTTGATGCGTTCAGGTTTGGTCACAGATCTTCATTTGGAATTCAACAAGAATAATTGCATCTTATTACTTCTGTTATAGCTTTCAGAGTCCTTGGGAGTCTTGATTATAGTCTACGGCAAGGCTCTTGAATTCTGCAAGCATTTTCTGAAGTAGATCTACTTATTTGTGGCTGGAAAGTCATAGAGTTGTACTTGCAGCTTGCCAGCTTCCTGAGATCATCCTTTCATGGTAATGCAGTATCCACTCATTTTTTCATACTGCTCACTATTTATGTGAGGTCCCTTGGAAATCTGGAGTACGATGCCATCAATGATGTTATTGATAAACTTTTTTATCACACACACATGCTAGCTTCTGTATACCTCCTTAGTGTATTCTGTAGTAAGATACTTCACAATAGAGTTGTGATCTGAAATGGAATCTATAGAAGGTTAAACAGGCATGGTGAATTTGGAGAACTTGTGTGTCTAAATACATCGGTGGAAGTGATAGCATCAAGTCTTCTTACTGGAGTATTTGGAATGGCAAGTCCAAACTTTGCTTCTTTAGTCCAGATCCCTGTGTGGCTCAAACTCCTGAGAGACTTTATTGCTGTTTCTGATGCTGTTATCACACTGTCTTGCTTCCTTTCCCCCTTATAACATATTCAGAGGCAGGAAAACATACCCTTTTCAGTGGTTATAGAAAAGCCATGTTTGTTTTGTTTTGATCTTAGAGAAGCTATACGTTGTAACACATATAATCATGCAACCTGTACACAACTGAGTCTGAAGGAAATGCTGGGTGCAAATTATTTCTTGAAGGCAAAAAAAAAGTCACACAAGGTTGGGTTTTTATATTATATTTTATTGAACCATTGATCCGGTTTCCTTTTCATACTTCTTAAGGCTCTTTTTCAAGGTGTTGTAAACATTTCATACACAAACAGAATAACTTTCCTTTCATTTCTTCTTCTCTTTCTCTGCAGAGGAGACTCTATTTGATGCCGTAATAACTTGCCCTAAGCACAGTGTCAGTAACCTGAAAAAGCAAATAAGACTTGTGATCTCCATTCTCAATCATACAACGCAAACAACTGTAGATAATATTATTTTTGCACAGATGTCTAAGCTCATTGTTTACAAAAAGATGAACATCTGGTAGAGCAAATATGAGGTGTCTGTGTCAGTGTTCGTGCCCAGCTAAAAAGAAGTAAGTGTGAAGAAGGCAGACAGAAAAAAGTGGGGGGAAATAGGAAAAAATTGGGACCAGGGGAATGAGTTGTGGGAGGATCAAATGAAGAAAACAGCACTGCTGTGAAAAACAAAATCACCTGAATGGAGAAATGTAGAAGCACTTTCTTCATAACACCCTGACTTAAAAGATAGGAAAAGAAGGCATTGTATAAGATGTCTTTGATTTTCTTCATCAGAAAGTGCTAATAAACCTGCTTGGATTGCCCCTCCTCCAACAGCAGGTCTAATCAGAAATTAACTTCTAGAAAACAAGGGTGTCCCTATGACTGCATACTTCACACTGTCCTCTACAGTTCAAATATTACCCCTGGAGTAATAAAACCCCCAAAATGTGAAGTGTGAAAGTGACAGCTTATATTATTACAGATATACTCATCAAGCAGTGAGAATTGGTAGTGTAATGTGTGAAATAATCCCCGCCCCAAATTTAAATACAACAGAAAAATACAATACCTTGTCAAAATGTAGAACGTATCAGTTCTTCTTGTTCTTCATAGATTCTTCCAGTTTTTTTTTTTGCGAATCAAGATCTAATGTGAAATGTCTGGATCATATGCTTCCAAGTGGCTTCATGATCAAATTTATTGTTCCTCTCCATTCTGTTTCATATCTTGGATCCATTACATGCAATCTGGTGAAAATCTGTAGTGTCTCATAATTCACAACAAATTATATTTTCTAAATGTAAGTGTTGCTATTGACAAAGAAGCTTATCATGGCAGCTTTTGAGAGATCCAAGTTAGAGTATCATAGAGAAGAGCTGAAAAAAACACAGCTATCACACTTTATAATCTAGAGTTATGGTTCATAGTGAGGTCAAACCAAACAAACTGAACAAAGTTGTAAATACTTTTGTTAATACCAGTGAGTAGTTTTCCAAGTGGTTATCTCAGCAGCCCATCCTCCTGTGCCCTTGCTGTTGTTATACCTAGCTAGTGGCCCACCAGCAAGTTTTTCTTCCAGTTTGCCCTTTCTGGTGCACTTCCAACTGTACATGTTTCAGGCACCTGTGTCTCTGACATAGGTGTCATGAAGTTATTCACCCCTTTCTTGATCAAGTGAACTACTAAAATTTTCAGTGTTCTGCCACTTTTTGCTCCCTTATCACAACTTTGTTGGTTGCTCATTGCTTAATAAACAAAACTGGAGAAAACAGAGGGGAATAACAACAACAACACTATATTTATATTCCGCCCTTCTCACCTCGAAGGGGACTCAGGGTGGATCACAGTACACATACATACGATTTGTATAGACAATACACAGACAGAACAGAAGGAGGTGCCATGGAAGGTTGGGCTTGAGTCCAGGGGGTGCTGTTGCTCTGTCCTCTATGATGAAGAACTGTCAGGACTTCCTCCTTCCTTTTGGCCACCCAGCATTTTCTGATCTTCTTTCTTTATGGCGTCGTGAAACACCTCCCCTGCTTTTAGCAGTACCTAATTTCTCTAATCACAGTTAAAGCTGTTTTCAAATTACTTAGGTAAACAATGAACTGGGGCTGACAGTTGGCAGCTCACGCCAACCCAGGACTTCAAACTTGGTTGATTATAAGATCTATCTTGGTTGATAGATCTTATAATTACTGATTATTTACCAACTGTGCTAAACCTCCAGTCCTAGTACACATCAACAGTATTTTTTTTAAATAAAGTCAGCCATGAAGAGCTTCAAGTAAAAACCAAGTTAGCTTAGGCTAGTGCAGAACATTTTGCAAAGATAAAATGGAGGCTGAATGAAATAAGATCCATCACAATGCTTGTTGCACGGGAGGCTGTGAGTAGCTTCATGGCTAACAGCCCGGGATTTCAACATGGGAGCACTACAGGCCATGTTAAGTTCAGTTGGGCAGATTGGTTGAATGTTGGAGTGGGGGTTAATGGCATCAAGTAGACATCGGTTCAGCTTTCCCACTGCTTTCTGTAGCCACAAATGGAAGGCTTTAAATTCTTTCAATTTTTTTGCATCACAAGGTATCCGTCTAAACGAAAATTCTTATATGATGTAAAACCAGACTAGAGTGAGGTGTCAAGCTTACAATATTTCCTCTTTCAAATCCAAAGAACAGACATGGAGGGTAAAGGTGTTTTTATTCTTGTACTATCCCTTCTTTTTTTTGCAAATCTAGTAGAGTGAGGAGACAGAGAAGCACATGGCATTCCTTCCTAGAGTCCTTTCTGACAGCCAAGAAGTAGCACCACATCTGGATCTCCCTTTCCTTCACCTGAGCCCCACTCTGCCCTATCTGGCTTCTTGCTTGACAACAGGAGGGATCCACAAACATTTTGGCCTTACATAACCTGCAGCCGTTGATGGAGAATTAAGCTGAGTCCAAAGGATTTGGCAGGAAAGATAATCTTTTAATGAAAGCACATTGAAAGAGTAAGGAGAGAAAATTTACTCCCTACGGATAAGAGAGTTATAACAGGAAAAGATACACAAAGTATGGATAGTCACACAGTAATGAATGCTCAGGGGATCAATTGTTCCAGTTTCTGCAAAGCCACAGCAATTGTGAGAGATCATCACACATGCTTATCAAAGGCAGCACTATAAACCCAAAACAGCTACCACAAGTCACGTTTATTGTCTGTTTGGGAAGCAGTTGTTATACAAAGAAATAAAGCCTTTTCCCCAATCTATGAAAGTAAGATAATGCTTGAATGCAAACTTCACCTCTGCATAAATTGAATTAAACATTATGCAGCTGGGAATGGAAAACACACATATCTATCCCAGCATTGCTTGATATCTTGCAGGTCCAGCACATACTCAGTTGAATGTAGAACATAGAAAAAAAATTCTAGGTAGAATTGATGGTAACTTGCAAAATCACAAATGTAAGGAATTTTTCTCCATCAATATGGAACTCCAATTATATCATAATAAACAATACAAAACAGAGACACTGAAGAGGAGACATCAAGATGTTTTGTTAAAGCCTGGCCCATGCTAAACAAATGTATCCGATTCACAGCTATAATAATTTTCAGTGGACAATATTGGTTTCAAATGTTTCTTAAATAGATGATATGCAATAGGAATCTCACCTGTCATTGTGTCTTTTCTAGATGTGTGTTCTCCTTTACTTCCATGGTAAGTAGCATTTGTTCCAGTGGATTCGTAGTCTGTTTTTCTTTCCTTTAAACTGATCATTTCTCGAGGCGAAGCCGGGGCACTTGCTAGCAAACAAACAAATACAGATATTTAAAATTTCACCACATCAGAGCAGGTATGGGCAGACTTCAAGAGTACAGGATCCCTTCCCTACTAGAACCCAGTCATCTACCAATCACAGCTGGTTGCAAAAGCCCAAGAATTTCTTTTAAGCACTAAAATGAACCCACCATCCTTCCATGCCAAACCCACACCTGACTACTGCTACTACCACCTTTCAGTTCATCCTCATTTCAACAGTATAATTTTTGGGACTGTGTATAGGTTTGGTACCAGTATTACAACTGGGTGACAGAAATCCTTGCTGATATACTGCAAATTAATGAGAGGGCTAACATGGTATCTCAACGTACTTCTTGTCCACCTCTTACATCAGCATATACATACAGAAACAGGCACTGATGGAATTATGCATTTGTGTCTGCACAGAGGAAATTCCAATGTTGAGTAGCTGACAGTAATATCATCAGAAATGCAATAAATTTTCACAAAAGTTCTCCAGCCTATTAGCAGCAACCAGATATCTTCTGAAAACCATGGTCTTTCATCCAAGATGTCATTACATCTATGTTGTTACACATATCTAATAATGTTCATGGACCTTGAAACTCACACATGAAGGTTCTCGAATTATTTATTTGCATTCAGCCATCCCAGTATTCTTGGGCTTTTTTCTGACATCAGAGCAATCTAAGAGAACTCTTGCATCTCTGCACTGCCAAAGCCCCACTGACATTGCAAGAAAAACAGCTGTTGGCATCAAGAATGGCATCCATGATATGCCAACCAGAGATATTTCACATATCTCTCATCTCAAGAAATGAGGATAGATGATTCACAGCCCAAACCCCATGCCCCAGTTTGTGTTCAATTAAAATATTTTACCTAATGGCAAATCTAGATGACATTCAGTAAATCCAGGGTTGAAGTCATATATCCACATGTTTGTATACACAGAACATTGCATTTCAATTTTATTTCTAGCAGCATGTATATTTAAAACTATAAAAAGTAAGACTAGTTTGATTTTTAGAGGAAGTATTCCACTCTAAATCTAGTCCTTCTGATTTCTAGGACTAGATTTAGTAAACAGAGTCCCAGAAGAACTATGGACAGAAGTCCGCAAC